CTCCTTTAGCGTGAGCTCATGAAAAGCGAAGATCTCTTAGATTGAAAGCGCTTGACGGCATTTTCACGTGTTCACGCTTGAAGAGAAGATCTACACGAGACCGACACGAGCCCTGGATCTCGACGATCTCTCGAGTCGAGCGGCTGAATAATTGTCGCAATAATTGCTCACTCCCCGATTTCTTACAGCTAGACGAGAAAAACGTGAGTTTGGCGACTGCGACTACGAGCCGGTTTCGACGGCTCGCTAGAGAATCATGGATCAAATGCGAGCGGCATTCAACCGCTCAATGTTACCGAGCGGCTTGACACGTTGACTGCCATTGCAATCGCGACGTATCTCAGCGTGTTATTTTATCAGCTGACAATTAACCGTATCCATTGTTCAGCGAAACTCGCGATGCAGACTCATCGCCGCAAAGGAAAAACCAGGCGAGCGTCAACTCGCGGTTGGAGCAGAGAACTCTTTTCGCAGACCAGCCACGCAGACGCGCGCGAGACAACTCGTGTTGTTTTGATAGTCAATGTGTCAACCGGCGACTATCCCGCTTGCACATGTCGCGACATACGTTAAAAGTCGGCCATGTGTTTTCGCACGTGAGGGATCCACCGTAACACCGGCATCCACGAAGAGACCCGTCGAGATCGCATCGACCTTTCGGTTCTCCTCCTCTTTCTCCTCTTTCTCCTCCTCCTCCTTCTTCTCTTCCCAAGTTAAAAGCGCCGTGCCGTTGTCCATCGAGTTTACGCGTGTGCTTGACTTATTTTTACATGGTTACTTGGTATGTTACACACATACTTGAGTTTCTCGTATACGCAAAATGTCGAAAGCGTTCGCCACAGTAATCGGAATCGAAAGCTCATAAGTGTAGCCGTTGTTTACACGCGCGGCTCGCCGAGGAAAACTCCCGTCGACACTCCTCGTCGAGCTTCGCCGGAGAAAGGGCCCGGGTAAGGCTCGTATCGATGGTTGTCACTTGAAACTTGTCTCATAACGTACTTCTATTTCTAATCCGGAGTTGGATTTTACCGTCGATCGACATAGCTTGCCCATTAAATTATTTACCCGTTACACATATTTAACCTTAATTAATCCATCGTTATACACATTTAAATTATTAACCGAGCAATTACATGACGCGGATGACTTATCCGTAATGGCGATTCAACCGAGAAAATCTTCCTGTTGATTTGCGGTCATCAATATAACGTATCATACGATTCAACTGAGGCACTTCACGTCCGGCTGTAAATTCAAATTCGAGTGTCTCGCGCTTGAGACAAGCTTCAAGCAACGACCGTTGATACGGACCTAAGCTCTAATTTAGAGACTGATCGATTGATGAAAAAAAGAAAAAAAGAAAAAAAGAAAGAAACAGCGTACAGCCTCGATGTATACGTATATTGTATATATCGTCGTTATGCTGCACCTGTCGGGACGTGTCGTACGTTGCTCTTGTTTGTCATTCATGCCACCACACAGTGTCTCCTCCTTCATTTATTATTATTATTACAAAGTATTGCTAAAAACATGTGTCATAACAATATGAACTTTCGATTTGGTTCTATTGCAACATACAGAGTGCTTCGCCGGGCTAGGCGCGTTGGCTGGCGTCCCGTAGTCCTTAACGACAACAGGTCGCCCTCGCCTACGCGTCGTCGTCGCGCAGCTACTGTGCGACGTGCATGTTGTACCTGCGCGACGACGCTCGACGGCAATATCATCGCCGTCGAAAAGTTGCGGAATAACAGCACAGACGACGCTCTCTACGCCGTTTACGCGCCCCCCGAATCACCCTGCGAATCACATGCTCCTCTACGCGGAAACTTATTAGCGACGACATAGGTAGGTAGTTTAGTGTTTTCTCTACTAAGACGTACATGTCACGACTTCGTTACACACACGACGCCACAGCTCATTTATATAACTACATCGTACACACGTATAAAAATAACGTTTCTATCGTAAAATATGTTTCAACATACTCAGAGTTTAGAAATAACTAATTCGATGGCCGTCGCCACGTTTTGTGTTTGCCCGTCGTCTTCCTAAAACTGGATCTCGAGACGTGACTCTCGATATGTAAACTATATAATTATCGTCATATCAAAAAGCATAGAATATAGATATATTATTTATATTTATATATATATATATATATATTTGTATATTCATTTATATTTATATATTGTGTGCACACACCACACGCACGCCCGCACGTGCGTCACCTACGCGCGTTGACACCGCGAGATATGTTGAAATATGAATATACACGCACGGTGCGAGACTCGTTTGACGAAATAAAACGATAAACGACGATCCGGCGCCTTCGCACGGTTTTCTCGTACTCGTTCGCGAAGAAATTAATCGAACAAATTTCCAACCCGTTCCCAAGCCACCTCCTTCCACGAACTTCTCAAACTCCTGAAGTAATTCACAAGCCAAAGTAGAAAACAAAATAAGAAAAGATGTGAATTCTCTTCTTAGTTCCACGGGAACTGATAATATACTCGATGTATACTGTACATCACACATTTTCCCGACCATTTCACAGAGAATTACAAACAATTACAGAGTTATTTCGGAATTTATACAAGAGTAACGAAACAACAATTTATCGGGAGGTAATATAATATGCGTTCTTTCTTCGCAATTAATTGGACGATCTCTCGGGCACGGACTGACGAGAAACGCGGTGGAGACGAGCGGTTCGATTCGCCGCGATGCATTTCCGGCGGAAAGCGGCTTGCGGCTTCAATACGTTTACATATAACCGGAGAAAATGTGCGCGCGTGCGTGTGCGTTCGCGTTAAAGTGCGAGTAATCCCTCAATGTTAAAGGTATGTAAAAGCGAGAAGAAGTGTTTTCCTACTTAACGTCACCTCTGTTGCTGCTCTCCTTTCCTCTTTCTCTCATCTTTTTCTTTTTTCTTTTTTCTCTTACTCCTTTAAACCTTACGCTAGCTACATTTTGTGCACGAGTCGCCTGTGAGACCGAGAATCTCGCGGAAATCTTGGCGCGGTCTTCGGGAGAGTGTGAACATTTACTACCTCTCCGACGACAATCGTCGGTGACGGTGCATAACTCTACACGCGTGTGCATCGCGTCCCTCGCGGCTCTCGTTACGGAGAACGCAGGAATATGCTCTCTTCTGTCTCGTGTCGTCGCGGACGTATACATGATACCGGGAGGGATACAGAACGCGACAGCCTCCCGCAACAGCCTCCTCAGTGCTCAGAGCTAGACTGATGATCTTCCAGGAGAAACGAAAGCGACGTACAAAACGCAACGTACGGAGTAATTCTTTTTTACAGTGACTTTTACCGAGCTCCGCTTAGATTAATTCAATGATTAACACATTCACCGCTAGACCCGGCGAATTTTAGTCGACTTTCCGTTCATATTGTTTTCAGAAGAACCATCGCGACTTGCTCGTGTAAAAATTTTGATGAGTAAAGATAATCCGTTTGCTGCTTAGGTAATGCATTTTGTTTGTTGTACTTAATTAAACATGATTACGATCTCCTAAATGTAAATCGGTATTTTTATTACACGTGTCTTAACATTCATTACATGACGGTCGGTGAAAAAGAAAATAAAAAATGTTCTCATCCCCTCGTAAAAACTTATCTAAAATTGCTTTTAGAGTCAGATATTCGATAATCGCTTCATTTTACGCTAATATATACGGAATTATGAATTCTCTTGGTTATCATTGAACATTGACGAATAACTGCAAACGGCCGTTGACAGTTTTGTCGGTTAATCATCGATCAATTTAAACGGAGCTTCGTGAAAGTCACCCTTGGACGCGCGTGTCATATCCCGTCGTACGCTCGGCGCGGGCGCCAATCCGGCGAGAACGACAAATGAAGTTACGTTAGGTAGGCACATTACAATGTATCTTTATTACTTAAAATATCCACTTCGAAAGTATGCTCGAAAGACTTAGCAGGCAGGTATAGGGCAAAACGACACATTCGGGAATCAACGCGACTGGATGGGCACGGACGAAGGACGCAAGAACAAACGCCGACGACGAAGTTGCCACTCGAGTGAGTGCGTTTCGATGTCACCGCTAAACCGTCGTACGTCGTCGATGGAAAGCCGGTGAATTGAACTGGTCCGATACAAGAATGCTCACGAAGAAGGGGGGAGCAGAATCCGGGCAGAGTGCAGCGGCGGGGAGCAGGGGGCGAGGAGATCGATTTGCCGCCGGTCGCGTAACTCTAACAAATCGAAGTGTAACAATAACTAGTCACTCTTCTCTTCCGAAAATCAGCTTCGATCGGCCTGTGTACACACAATAGGTCGTAGATTGAGAACCAACAAACACGTCCTGGCAGGGATACTCGCGATAACAACCAACAACATGCGCGACGAAAAAACAAAATGACTTATAAAAAACCCACTTGGCCAAATCATTGCTGTATTCGCACATATTCATTATCATATAGCTCTATCTATAGTACATAAAACAATAACACTAAAAATCATTTAATTCGAGTAATTCTATCTTTAATTAATATTTTATTATATTCCTTCTTCTTCTTCTTCTTCTTCTTCTTCTTCTTTTTCTTCTTCTTCTTTTCTTCTTTTCTTCTCCTTCTCTCTCTCTCTCTCTCTCTCTCTCTTTTCTTCTTCTTTGTATATATAGTAAATTATTGTATTTAAACGCACGCTTACGCCTAGCTGCATACGATTTTCTGGTTTGTGATTTCTTTTCTCCTTTAATAATATATAATATAATAATATACTATGTCGCATATAAAAAACAATTACTTAGTATAGAGTACAAGATCGTTCTTAGTTAAGTTTTTGTTTCTTGTTTTTTTTTTGTTTTGTTTCTCGCAACTATTTATATAAACGTAAGATCTCGTCCATCTCTAAAATGAACATGCGTCCGCCGCTCCCAGAACAATCACGAAAAATCGGGAGTACAAAGGATCGAGAGTGATCAGAAACGATGTCGGAGCAAGAGGAAAAGAAATGGGATATTCTATCGTTTGCACTGCGCGTGAAAATTTTGATACCGATTCTTTCGAGTAAAGTTGCGTGAATTTTACACGGAAGAGATCAGTCTCGGCTCGTGCGATCAATTTCTCCGAAGCGAACGAAACACATTATTATTATCGTTATTATTATTATTATGTATATATACACGTCATTTGTTATCCCCTCCATAACGGTGGACCATCAACGAATTTGGCTACACCTGAAAGCGGTGCGTGTTCGATCGATTCTTCGTTCTTCTCATATGTGACAACACCCTGACATAACTCTCGCATTTTAAATGCAACTAAATTTGATTTTACGCGTTACCCTAGTGCGTTACACGTAGAGCACACGAGAGTGCCACCGATATGACCATAAGAATGACGCTCTCTCTCTCTCTCTCTCTCTCTCTCTCTCTCTCTCTCTCTCTCTCTCTCTCTCTTTCTCTCTCTCTCTTCTTCTCCTTCATCGGCACAGCGAAACACCGCTGACGCAAATTGACTTTGACTACATACATTCATACGATTTATCACCGACAACGGTACTCTCATTTCTCGTGTCGTGTATTGCACAGTCGCAGCTTACCAATTTTAACGACGGCATGAATGGTGGGTACATATGCTACCAAATAAACCATACAGCGCGCATTTCCGGGTAACGCGCCGTTAACCGCGAATTTACATCCCTCGAGAGGATCGCAAAACAAAGGCAAGCTGACGTCTATATAAAAGAAAAGAAAGTAAAAAGTGGGAAAAAGTAAAGGGGCTTTTCAGAAAATGATACAAAGTCACAACATGTCAAAAAACGCGGTTGTGGCCGGCCGTGATCGCGCAACGACCGGCCGCCGGGAACGGAGGATCAGCATCAACTGCCGTTTTTTTCTCGCTCTTGGTCGGCGTAATCCAAAGTGACCGTCCTTCCGATTTAAGCTAAAAATTCATGAGGTGTCATTTTGGTTGGCAGGTCTGAGCGTTCACCTTGTGTCGTGTCTGTGGTGTGAGATCGAGCCAAGGCACCGATGAAGTCCGGCTGCTCTAGCTGAAGAGGCACGCGACATCGCGATGTTGCTGCGTTAACAGAATAATCTGCTCCACGTTCCGCCTCCGCATCCTACAAAATTCACTTATTCAGTTCAACTGCGCCACACGCGCGTTTGCATGCGGATCTAAATGCGAGATGCAAAGAGACAGGTGAGAACAAAAAGAGAAGAGACAGGCAAACAAAGAGAGAGAGAGGTACGGCTCGTGAACGCAGCCAGTAAAACACAATCGAATCGCGACCGAAGAAGCGACCTTTAAGGCGGTGCGCGCTGATGCACTTCCTACCTTACTCTTTCTTTGTACGGAGCTTTCATACCTAGATAAGAAAGAAAGAAACATGTCCGCGTTATTTTTATCTAGGAGAAAAGTTCACCTCTTAAACAGTTTATTCTAGATAATCGTTTCTCTGAGAACGATTAGCCACGCCGGCACGTTCGCGTGTTCCTTGGGAATCTGACGCGAGGTTCATTATATCCGTAAATATAAAAGGCGCGTCGCTTCTTGTCCGCCTCGAAGTTTAAGATTGGATTCTCGGGTATCGGGCATGGATCACACGCGACGTTCTTGACGGGCATAAATTACGATGCGAATGCGCGTCTCCCGGCGGGCTGATTCTGAGCGATCCCAACTCTGCGATCTTGCTCTCGTGAGTACGGAACAGATCCAACTCACCAAACTCGCGCTGGCAAAAGAGGCGGACGTGGTAGCAGAGGTAGGCACCGTCAATATTGGATAATATTATCTACTACTGCGAAGCCGCATGCTCCCAGTCCGGCGCTAGACATCAATCGAACAAGCTCCCTTGCATGAGATGCAGCAACTTCCAACGGAGGTCGACGCGGAAGATTGCTGGATTCTGTTGATCGATAACAATCGTGATCAGAATGACAATCGGGATCGTCTCTCGGTGACAATGAATGATCAGTGTGAATCATTCTCCGAGACCAAGTTGCTGAGGAGTCAGATTCAAATACGTATGGTTGTTGAAACGCGAGATAAGATAAAGAGAAACGAAAAGAAAAAGATCTCATAGTAAAATTATATCATACGATCGCTCAAATCAATTTTACTAAAAAATTATTACGGGATTTTTCTCGTAAGAGAAACATAGAACGCTTGCATCGTTTTAAAAAAGTATGCGTTTCTTTTTATGTCTCTGTATCACTATTATATTCTCACCCAATATAGCTGAATTCAGCCTTGCACAGACTGTCTCTCTTTGCTGCGGATCAAGCTGCCAGCCGACCGGCGAATTCCATGGATTGGCGTATGCTAAGAGACTGAACGCGTCCTGCAGCATCTTCTTATTGCTCTCGTTCTTCCCGTGCTGCTGCCTCAGGTGTATTGATTGCGAGTACAATTGTCTACCAAACTCCAACATCTTCTCGATCGCCTGCTTGTTCCCGCCGCACAATTGCTTTTTGTTACTTTTATTTGTCGTATTATCGGTGCTGATGCTGCAGTCGCCATTTTGCTGCTGCTGTTGCTGCTGGTTGCTTTGATTGGCACTATCGATTTCTTCTGCAAACAACAACAATCGCCTCTCTTGAGAACTACAGATTGCTCGCAAAAAGTTTGTCTCGACTGGTCTCGAGATATCTAGCTTATAAGCATATCATTCACGACTACATCTGTAATTATCCATATATTCGTGTAAACTGTTAAGGGAAAAGCGACAAGAATTATATCAAAATATCTCACCCATATCTACATCCTCTCCGTTTTGACACTTGTACCCGTTCGAATTCGCGTTGCTGTTCTGATAACCGTTGCTGCTCTTGACACCATTGACGACACTGACAGCGCTCTCTTCCATGTCAACGTCATCCTCTATTTGACCGTTGACGAACTGCTGGCCACTATTGCCGTTCATCGTGTTACTGATATTCATCTCTTCCACATTACTATTCATCGAGGATTTCGCGTACGCTTTGGTCGACTGTATTACGCTCGTTTGATTAACACCGTTGCCGCTCTGACAGACTTCCGAGTCACTGCCGTTCACCATTTCAACGAACTGACGGCATTTCAGCGCGAATAATAGATTCGGATCCCTATCGAGAAGTCCGGGATATAATCGACTAGTTAATTCTATCGCTTCACCCATTCGTCCGGCAAGTACCAGCTTTAAGATCCCTGCGAATCATCATCAAGCCATTAGCAGGGGCAGGGGGATAAGAGCGTGTGAGCTCACTAATCAGCGCCGGATTTGATCCATTTTGTTCTGTCGTGTCATGTGATTTCGTACAATGTAATGTACGAATAATGTATAAGGTGAGGCAAAAGAAAAGTATAATGTAAGACGAAGAGTCTTGAGATTCTTCAGATTCTTACTCAATTAGGATAGTCGTGCCACTGAAGCATTGCGACTAGCGACTTCGTGACACTGTAATCATTCTCCCGGCGCTCTTAGTGAAAGAAGCAGATCGCGTTAAAGCTTACTCTGTCGATTTTTGATGGAGTTGTAATCCTCCTCAAACACTTGCCCTGTGCTGTTAGCGAACGCTTCAGCGGTGGCGCAATACCCATGATGGACAAGATAAGTGGACACCATTCTATCGAATTCGTATTCTCGTTATTCGTTACTCTCGAGGGATACATGAGGAATATTCATTATACATAATTCAAGCGAATGCCTTTCCATACTAACTTCTTCCATTTGTGCATGAGCGCTTAGGCCTTTCGATCTCTTGGAGACATTATACATGTCCCATGTTAAATTTAGAATTTGTTTTGTCATACCGTTGTTTTGTCATCATTTGTTTTGTTTTACCGTTGCATTAAATTTATTTTATATAGACTTGTTTTACATAGAACAACGCATATTTATGTTGCAGATTCTCAGGAAGGCCAAAAGGATCGGTGAGATCGAAAGAGTTACGAAGATGTCTCTCATAACAAACGATAACGATAAACGAAGAGGGAAGAAAAGTGATCACGAAAGAGAGAGAGAGAGAGGGGGGAGGGAGGGGAGGGGAGGGGAGGGGAGGGAGAGAGCTCGGCTTGCGAACAGTGCATCAGGGAGAGAGTCATGCATCCGTCTCACTTTCTGACAGGGGAACTGTACGGTGAGTCGAGTTGCAAGACGATTGATAGCGAGTCTGATAGATAACGAAAACACGATGCCACATACGAAGCGTCGTGAAAAGGAACGGCTTTACGAGACGTCGACGAGCATTGGGAGTGAGAAGAAGCACCGAAGAAACCGTCGCACGTTTCGTGATTGATTGCAACAATCATTGTAAATTGACATGTAAGTTTTGGAATATTTTATAGTCGTATGTGTCGCGCCATGAGTATCGCGAGTTCCGTATAAAATGACCGCAAGTCAGACGATTGTACAGAGTCGAGGTCTGCATTTATTTCATTCGCGGGCGTACGAAAGTTTCAAGCAATAAGATAACCACAAAGCCTACAAGAGTCAACGCAGTTTACCGATCGCCGAATGATATCTTCACGAAACAATTTAACCCATGCGAGAACTTCAACGAGATTCAAATCGCGCGAGCTCATGCACGAAATCTCGTAATCATTGTTTGTAGTGACACGAGATCCCGTTCTGCTCTTCGATGCTGTTCCCAACGGTTCATAAAGAGTCGCTCTTTTTACGTTACTTCACGCTTACTTGACTGCACACTTAGCTACGTGTTCGCGCGATCTGTTAAAGCCACTACCTGTCGTATCGCAGCTCGATCTCTCCACCATTCGCGCATACTACTACCAGCCGCGTGGATACGTACTTGTGAAGAACTTCTTGCCACTGGCCCTGACCGTGTTCCGGTGTAGGATAGTTTATGATTTGTAATCTCGTTCGGACACGCAGTTCGTTGATCATGTCTCCAATGTCAAAGACGAATGGTGCTTGCCCAAAATTAGCATCTACAACTTCACCAGGAGTCTGCAGACCGACCGTCGGATACAGATTGGGCTGCGGAAGTAAGTTCGAGTGAGACTTCATTTGCTGCCATGAACATATGTACGATAAACATCTCAAGTCTAGATATCTTACAAATACCGGAAATAAATCATTCACATTTGGCGTCTTCATTTACTTCAATGTGAATAATTACGACTTGCGGACATACCAAAATGCAAACATTCTCCGAACCGAGGCACAACATTTGGCCCCAGTAGTGACTGAGCGATCAGATTTGACAGATTGACCGTCAAATACGAGTTATCTCGTAGCTGGCGTGAAATTAAGAAGAATTCTCGTTATTTCATACGTGCCAACTACGAGCCAACTCATTTGCATCAAAAGCGATTACGTCCGTTCGTTTCGCCCAGCCATTATTGCGAAATTCAAATCGCGATTTCGTGCCGAAAACAGATCGAAAATCGTAAAAATTATCATTGATATTATTTTGATTTGTTTCGATTTGTTTTGTCTCGACGACGACCTGATGGGAGAAGGCATCAGTGATGTACTTTTCGGGTCTCCTGATGATGCAAATCTCGTAATTCTTTTCCAACGTGAGTTTAGCTGTATAATAAATATAATTAATTAGCGTATTAAAATATTTAATAAGCTAATCTTAAAATGGCGTCGAGGACATAGAGCTCACAACGACAACGTCAACGTGCAGAGTTGACGATTCGCGCGTTCGGAATGGAACTGTTTTAAAGGGCCCTGAAACGGACATCGACGGATCTCTCCTTCGAGGTATATAACAGGTAAGAAACAACAAATCAATTCTCTTTGCCTCGCACGAGAACGCACGGGAAGGGTGACATTAGGTACCGCATGTTCCGCCCGCATGTCGCATAAGGCCTTCGGCCTTATCGATGCGACTGAGTGGCTTACAGGAAGGTCCGTGAAGGCGATACCCAAGTGGTGACCATTCTTCGTGTAGAATGCAGTGTTGTCGACCAAATTGACACCACAACCGATCACATCGCCGGTAGTAAACGTCGGCCCGTAAGGTTGGCCCGTGCCAGACGAGCAGAAGCTGTGACCATCATCGCCGTGATAACCATACGAGTGTTTGTCCCACCCTGGCAACCTGTTCACATTGACACCATGCGCCGAGAGACCAATCCCCATATAGCCATCGCGTCCTTTGCTCACGATCTTCACCTCGAAGTAGTACAGGCCGCAGGCTGCTGGTATGGAGTGTGTTGTGCGAACACTGGCAGCGTCTTTGTGAGTTTTACCGTAACCTGAGGAAAAAGAGAAGGCTCGCTCACATTTATGACCGATATCGGCTAATAACCGGCGGCGGCTAAATACCGCTGCGCGCTCTGTGCTTGTTGCATGTACACGATAGGTGCGAAAGTTTCGTAGTCGCGAGTAGAAACGCGTTAAAAATAGAGAGATGCACTCGCGTGGGACGTAATCTGTGCCTTGAGATTAAAAACAAGGTCATCGTGCGGCTCGGAAACGCAAGGACAAATGCCATGCGTGCGAGAGCGCGCGCGCATACGTCTTGCCTTCTGTCTCTTTCACATCTGCCCTTTTATCAGCCAGCCCGGCCGAATCACGCGCGCGCTTATCAAAGCTATAAGCTAAAGAACGTATACGTAGAGAATGTGTGTTAGAGGGATGGGCACGGAGAAAGTTCAACGGAGGATAGTTACACGCTGGAATTATTTACTCTTCTACCTTCTGCAACGCAGAACAGCGCTAGTTGTCTCCGCGGCTTCGCTCTAGATTGCTGTGGTTTGTACCAATTTCTAATAATCGTATTCGTTTTTTCTCAGCCCATACGGGCTCATGCTTATTTTAAGCATTTAATCGATGAAAGAAGTTGATATCGGACGTCAACTTGCCAGATCCGTCTAACTTCGAAACTAAATTGTCATGTCGCTAAATCGTACTTCAGTAGAGATGTGCGAATTATTTGAATTCGAATCGGATCGAATCGAATCTAATGTAATTCGATTCGATTCGAATCCGAATTCCTATGATTCGAGTCCGAATAATTCGAAAATTTCGAATCCGAATAATTCGAGTAGGAATCAAATACATTATCGTTTGCGTACATCAGCTACAAAACGGGCCATCTGGGCCTGTATGTTTGAGCCCTTAACTTGTAATTAACTTAACTTATAATTAATAACTTAATTATAAATTACTTTAAATATTTAAATATATATTTTACTTTAAGATGATATTATAATATCAATATTCCCTTTCATATTAAAATCTTCCATTATTATTTGCATATTTAATAGTCATGTTAAATTTTTTAATGATTCGATTTCATTCGATTCGATTCGAATTCGAATTTAAAAAATGAGATTCGATTCGATTCGATTCGACATAAAAATTCTTGATTCGCACGTCTCTATACTTCAGTCATATCTGAGGAAACATTGCAAACTAAAATATCTTCATAGAAAGACCAGAAGAAAATGTCACACGATTGAAACCCTCTAAACGACCGCTAATTGGAACACTCAGCTCAATCCTCAGCTCAATATTATTTATTCTTACTAGTTATACAAATAATATACAATAAGTACTCTAAATGGTACTTAATGTAGTGTGCAATACGATGTGATAAATGGATATACTTGTACTTATATACAGGGCGCACGATTTATCTGAAGACATTGAAATATCTCGAGAACTATGCATTGGATAAAAAAAGTGGTTAATAAAAGTTGTTAGTCTCGAAGGGGGACATCCAATGATACCAAACTCGACCTCCCACCCCATCCCCTGGGGGTGGGGGTTGGGGGCAATTTTGAAATCTTAAATGGGAATCCCCATTTTTTATTGCAGATACGGATTCTACGCTACAAAATACGTAAATTTTGTCCGGAACTTTTTTTTTGATTCGTGATAGATGGCGCTGTAATCGCAAAAAATTATATTTTCCGTAATTCTCCAGAAATGATCATTGGATTGAGAAATAAAAAATACCTGTTCAATATTTTTAAAGAACATAATAAAAGTTATTAAAAAGATAAGGTTTATCAACCTAACCTAAAAGATAAGGTTTATCAACAAGTGCCAACAACTCGTGAAAACATGGTAGAACGCATAAGAAACGCTTGCGCTGAAACTCCCGCAGATATGCTTCTATCCTGTGTACAGTCATTTGAAAAAAGGATCAATAAGTGTATTAAAGTTGAAGGTAAAAATTTCGAACACTTACTCTAATTAATTGAACAGTGAGAGGCAAGGGGACTCACGTTAAAAAAGCACCCCGATCTGTGAGAGGCAAGGGGACTCACATTAAAAAAGCACCTGAAGGGAACAAAACTACTACGTCCGCGTCGTTGTTCCTGTGTAACGCTAAAAGTAGTTTCTCGGAAAAATTCAACGCTATCTATCACGAATGAAAAAAATTGTTTCAATAAAAATTTCACGTACAATCTAATTCTGCAATGAAAAATGTAGGTCCCCATTTGAGATTTGAACGTTATCACCCACCATACCTCGAGAGGATGGGGGGGGAATAACTTTTATTATGTTCTTTAAAAATATTGAACAGGTATTTTTTATTTTTCAATCCAATGATCATTTCTGGAGAATTGCGGAAAATATAATTTTTTGCGATTACAGCGCCATCTATCACGAATCAAAAAAAAAGTTTCGGACAAAATTTACGTATTTTGTGGCGTAGAATCCGTATCTGCAATGAAAAATGGGGGTTTCCATTTAAGATTTCAAAGTTGCCCCCAACCCCCACCCCCAGGGGGTGGGGTGGGAGGTCGAGTTTGGTATCATTGGATGTCCCCCTTCTAGACTAACAACTTTCATTAATCACTTTTTTTTATCCAATGCATAGTTCTCGAGATATTTCAATGTCTTCAGATAAATCGTGCACCCTGTATACTAGGTGCGCAACAAAGTTTCCGGGTTTTTTTGATCAATGAAAAATGGAAAATTTCAAGAAAAATACAAAAAATGGTTTATTCAAATTATCGTCCCTCGTTAGCTACACATTTTTGCCATCTCTCTGGCAATACATGAATACCGCGACGATAAAACGACGCGTCTTTGGACCGAAACCATTCATCCAAACAATTTTGCACTTCTTCGAAATTGGCCAAATGTTGCTCAGCCAAGCTATGCGCCATCGACCGGAACAAGTGATAATCGGAAGGGGCCAGGTCTGGCGAATACGGCGGGTGCGGTAGCAGATCCCATTTCAGCATTTTGATGGTGTCCTGGACGATGGACGATGGAAGTACGATGGCACGGAGCGTTGTTGTGCTGCAATATCACTCGTTCGTGTCTCGTGTCCCATTCTGGCCGTTTTTCGAGCAATGCATGGTTCAAATTGATCAGTTGTTGTCGGTAGCGATGCCCATTGACAGTTTCGCCCGCTCATTCAGCAGCTCATAGTACACGATTCCTTTCTGGTCCCACCAAACGCAGAGCATTGTCTTCTTTCCGAAGCGATTTGGCCGTGCCGTCGATGTTGATGCTTCGCCAGGTGAAAACTACGATTTTTTGCGTTTGGGATTCTCGAAATATATCCACTTCTCATCGCCAGTAACAATTCGATGCAGGAAACTCTTTCTTTCATGCCGCAAAAGCAAAATTTTGGAAGTGGCTCTTCGATTTTCCGTCTGTCTCAGTCAACTCATGCGGCACCCATATTCCTTCCTTTTGAATTTTTCCCATGGCATGTAAACGTTTGGAAATACCTTGGCGAGTCATGTTTAATGCCTCCGCAAGTTGATCTTGTGTTTGCGTATCATCTTCATCCAATAACGCTTGCAGATCGGCGTCCTCAATTGTTTTTGGTCTTCCGGAGCGCTCCTTGTCCTCAGTGTCGAAATCGCCTCTTCTGAAGCGTTTAAACCAATCTTCACAGGTAGTTTTCGATGGTGCATGTTCGCCGTAGGCCTCCTCAAGCAAACGAAGTGCTTCAGCTGCACTTTTTTTCAAGTTGAAGCAGAAAAGCAAATGCAAGCTTCCCGCAAATGCTATTTATTTGGCACAAAACTCGACATGTTCGTTGTTAGAAAAAATATTTTTGCGCCGCGATATGTATTGGTATTACGACTGATTATTGTTAACAGATGCCCAAGCTATAAAAAAACACAACTTCAGACATGTATGTCGACTACATGTGTCGTTAGCGCCATCCATGTGTGAAACCCGGAAACTTAGTTGCGCACCTAGTACTTGTACTGAAATACAGGCCAGTATATCTTCAAGTTGATCTTCTCCAAAAATTCTTCAATTTCGTTTGTGACGAAACAACTGAAAGAGAAAAAAACACAAATTGAATAACGATCTCTTTTTCTTTCCCTTGCTCTAGACAATGTCCACCCCCCCCCCAAAAAACAAAGTAATTTCAGAATAAACGGAATTAAAATTTTAGAGGGTTTTCTTATATATGTATGTACTTACGCTGAAATATGGGCCAGTATATTTTCAAGTTGATCTCCAAAAATTCTTCAACTTCGTTCGTAACGAAACAACTGAGAAAAACAACACAAATTGGATAACAATCTCTCTTCTTTTCTTCTTTGTTCTAGACGTTGTCTATAAAATAAATGTGACGACGATCGTCACATGCATAGACAGAATGTCTCTGTGTAAGTAGATGAAAGGGAAAAAAACGCCGGCAAACGGGGGCTCAAAATCGTAACATGTTTTTCCTCATCATACCGTTCCGTTATTACCTCCTGCTGCGTCTTTCTTCTCGCGCAGGTATAGCGTTGCGTTTAACCAATCATACATGACACTTCACAGCGACATGTTATTTTTCACGTCTCTTTTGACCGTTGAAGCGAACATTCAAATCAACATATTCAACACATTGATATAAGAGGAAAATTAATTGATACAAGAGGAAATCCTCTTTGAAATAAGAGGAAAACAGTTAGAAAAACACCCAATAAATTTTAGATGAATGGTTTATTTCGATCGCTTTATCGAAAGAGGAAGGCTCTTCCTGTAGAAGGCTTCGCTTATAATATGAGGCTGTGGGAAAAATCACTTTATAAACAGAATACTCTTTTTGGGTGTAATACTCGCAGTTTATCATTTATCGCGCTTCCACTCCCGCACGCAAGTCTCCATCGGCCACGCGCTCTTTCGCGTATCGATTGAATATCAACAGAGCCTGACTTTATTCAATCTGAACGGATCTCACGCATCCGCGGTTTCCTCTGGCTAGAACGCGATAACTGGAGAGAGAGAGAGAGAGAGAGAGAGAGAGAGAGAGAGAGAGCTGGCTTTGGCGAAGTTG